TCTCTCTCTCTCTCTCTCTCTCTCTCTCTCTCTCTCTCTCTCTCTCTCTCTCTCTCTCTCTCTTCTCTCTCTCTCTCTCTCTCTCTCTCTTCGTTTTTAATGCAAGTTTATTTTTATGCGAGCAGTTTGCAAATTGCTATTGTTTACTACTATTACTGTTATCGTTATATTTTTTGTTGTTGATCATAATCATTTTGTTGTTGCTGTTGTTGTTGTTGCAACTATCATTATTATTATTAAAATTATTATTATTATTATTATTATTATATTATTTATTATATTATATGATATAAAATGCGGCCGTGCATTATTCCATCTTTCATTTGAATGCACCTCAGGTTATCTGATTTGGGGTTTGATCTCTTTCCATGAGTCCCGAATGCCCACGGGGAGTGAGTGCGAAATCTCACTCTACTTACTCGCGCGTGAGTAGTTAGGTAGTCCAAGCGCTAGGTGGCGCCTGGTTCCAAAGTTCTTTTGTGCGTGGTGGTGTAGTGGATAGAGCGACCGTCTTGCTATTGTTATTATTGTTATAGTTTTCACTCATTATTGGTATCATCATTTATCGTTATTAATATTTCTAGGAATTATCACATCAATGTCTTCCCGGTCACATCCTATTATTGTCGTTTTAATCATTATCATCATCATTATTAGCATCATCACCATCGCATTCACCATCACCCGCTCCTCCTCATCGTCACCGTCATCATCGTTCATCATTATTTTTATCAGTTTTAGTGTCATATTCTTATCTTATTGCCTTTATCATTATCATCATGATCATCACAATCATCGATTTATGCTATAATTATTATGTTAGGACCTTCACTTTCCTCACACATATTAATTACATACATATGTATTTACACACATGTATATTTGTAAATATATGTGTTTATATGTACATTGTATGTGATTATATATGAAAATGCTTCACAGGCGGAAGGTCATCGGTTCGATTCCGAGTGGAAATGATATATTGGGTTTTGAAGAATTCGACTATATATTTCGTTTCATGATAGTAGGAGATACAGCCAAAGAATTTACGTAATACTGCTGCATTTTTGCCCTTTGTATTAATTATTGCAACTCAATGAGTGGCCGAGATACTGAACATATTACTGTTCCTTTACCTTTTTTATTCGCCCCGCTACATGGACACAGGGCGAAAGCGACACTGAATGCAGAAATATAAAGTTAAAAGAGGGTGGAGTTCCTTGATAATACTGAAACTTATTCCCTTTCACTCTGGTTCCAAAAAGGATTTGCGATTCTCGGAGGCCGATGCGCGCCAGAGGTCAACCTCGGCGTGGACCTTTTCCATTGACGCTGAATTCACGTGGACAGTGCAGGAATGCGTTATATACTGATGTATGATGTATGAGTAGAATATCATTTTTTCTTTCTCTTGAAATCCTCTCACTTTTATTTTAACCTTCTTTTTCTATCTCCTCACATCCCGTCTCTCACTTTCTATCTCTCTAAATATAAACTAAAATAACTGCATATATAATAAAAATGGCAAGAAATTTTCAAGATGCCGAAACACTGGCTCTGTCATCTCTTCTTCTTCGCCCCCTCATCCACTCCCTCCCGTCTCCTGAAACATCTCCCTCTCCCTTCCTCTCTTAATTTCTCTATGCTTCTCATTGTACCATTTCCGTTGTCCTTCCTCTGTTTCCTTTATACCGGTTTTCAGGATTCCAACGTGGAATTAACAGTGTTTTTCCTTGGCTTGCATCGCTGATTGCTATAAATGGACCAATAAAATGACGGGCATCACGTGGCTTCTTCCCTCGCAGTGGATGGTCAGCTGATCAGCTGTTTCACTCACCGCTGTTGTTTTTTTTTCTCTCTTTTTTATTGTATCTAATTAATTAATTTATCTTTGTGCGAACTGAAACAACGTCCCTCCTCAAGCGGTTTGGACAAGAGGCTCGTTAGCGCCGCTGGACAGCCTGAGCAGATTGAAAGCAATATGGTGAATGCGAAGTGAAAGTCACAAAAATCACAATGTCGAGGAAAAAGCAAGCTCAGAAACAGAACTAATGATATGCATTTTTTTTTAGATATGTAAAATTTTATGTGTTCGTATATATACATATGTGCATATATACATACATATATATAAACATATATACATATAGATAGATACACACACACACAACACACACACACACCACAACACACACACACACACACACAACACACACACACACACACAACACACACACACACACACACACACACAGACACACACACACACATATATATATATATATATATATAAATATATATATATATATATATATAATATTATATATATATAATATATATATAACATACATACATATATGTATATAAAAATGTTTATATATACATATACATACGAACATTATATTTATGTAATTTCTAGATACATACATACACATAACACACACACACACACAAATATATATATCGCTTCGATCCCGAGCGAGTCTTTTTTCAAGGATAATCCTTAAACGACGTATCCTCCTGAAACAAATGGTGATGTAACTAAATCAGGACATTAAAATGCTCTTACTTTTATAGTCCTACACTTAGCACTGACAGTTATTACATGAAGAAGGGGAAGAAGAGAGAAACAGCATTGAGTACTGAAAGACAAAACATTCTCAAGACGTAAAATAATAAAATTTCCTCGTTCCTCTCTCTCTCTCTCTCTCTTCTCTCTCCCTCTCTCTTTTCTCTCTCTCTCTCTCGTCTCTCTCCTCTCTCTCCTTCTCTCCTCTCCTCTCTCTCTCTCGGCCCTTTCTCTCATCTCTCTCTCTCTCTCATCTCTTCTCTCTCTCTCACATGAGAAGCGTGATTATCACACGAAGAAGGGAAAGAAGAGAGAAACAATGAGTACTTGGAGAGATATGTAAAACATTCTAAAGACGGTAAATAATAAACTAATAAAACTCCCTCTCTAACGTCTCCCTCTCTCTCTCTATCTATCTATCTACGTATCTCTATCTCTCTCTCTCCACACAGTGAACGGGCTCGATCAATCACGTGAGATGGTGATTATTACAATTGGAGAAGGAAGGAAGAGAGAAAGACTGAGTACAAGAAAAGAAGTGTAGAAACATTTTAAGATGTAAGATGTATGATAATAAAATTCCTCTCTCTCGGCTCTCTCTTCTCCTCTATCTCGTCTCCGTCCTCCTCTTCATCTCTCTCTCTCCTCTCCTCTCTCTCAGTCTCTCTCCTCCCCTCTCCCTCTCTCTCTCTCGCCCTTCCCTCCTCCCGACTCTCTCTCTCTCTCTCTCTCTCTCTCTCTCTCTCTCTCTCTCTCTCTCTCTCGTTCTCTCCTCTCCTCTCTATCTCTCTCTCTCTCTCTCTTCTCTCATTCCCTCTCTCTCTCTCCTCTCCTCTCCTCCTCTCTCTCTCTCCTCCTCCTCTCTCTCCAGATCTTAGCTACTGCTGACGTTCAAGTTTTCGCTTTGTAAACCCTTTTGAATTGTTTAAATGAATTTTAAAAGAGATGGCAGTAAACACAGATGCAATAAAAGGAATCTCTTATATAATCCGCCATATTTATATCTAAATTTAAATCTTGTTCCGCTAATTAAAAATGTTTTTTTTTATTTCTAAATTTCACCAATCTAACATATTAACTTACAATTGCCCTGCCCCCGCCCCCCCGGCCCGCAAAAAAAAAAAAAAAAAAATAAAAAAAAAAAAAAAAAAAAAAAAAAAAATTTTGGACAAACGACGTTAGGAATTGAAACTCCCCCGACTGGAATGGCGAGTGCTTTAAAACATTGTGACATTGCTGTGCGGATTTAGGAATTTTGGCTGTTTGGATTAATCGGCGCAAAGATGATAGGCCCTAAATTCTGATAAAATTCATCATCAACAATGGTTTTCCAATGGGTGCCCTACGTGATTATTACATGAAGAAGGGAACATAGAAAGATAGAGTGAGATGAAAGATAGTAGAAAAGTATAAAAAAAAATAAGAGAAGGAAACAGTGAGTACTGAGATTAGATGTAAAAATTATAAAGACGATACATAATAAAACTAATAAAACTCCCTCTCCTAATAACTCCCCTCCCCCCGCTCTCTCTCTCTCTTTTCTCTCTCTCTCTCTCTCTGCTTATCTCTCTCTCTCTCTCTCTCTCCCTCTCCCCTCTCTCTCTCTCTCTCCTCTCGTCTCTCTCTCATCCTCCTCTCTCTCTCTCGTCTCTCTAATCTTTTACACACAACACACACGTTGAGACGTGATCATTAGCATGAAGAAGGGGAAGAAGAGAACAACCCTAAGTACTGAAAGACAAAAACATTCTCAAGACGTAAAATAATAAAATTCTCTCTCTCCGTCTCTCGTCTCTCTCCTTTCTTTCGTCTCGTCTCTCTATCTTCCTCTCATTCTCTCTCCTCCTCGTCTCTCTCTCTCTCTCTTCTCATCTCTTCTCTCTCTTCTCCTCCTCTCTTCCTCCTCTCTACATCTCTCTCTCTTTTTCTCTAAACACATTTCTTCTCTCTCTCTCTCTCTCTCTCTTTCTATATGTATATATAGATATAAATATAGTAGATAGATAGGATAGATAGATAGATAGATAGATAGATAGATAGATAGATAGATTAGATAGATAGATATTTAGTATAGTTAATATATACATATACATATTATATATACTTATATATATATATTATATATATATATATATTTATATATATATTATATATATATATATGCATATATATATAGTATATTATTATATATATATATGATATATATATATATATATATAATTTGTTTCGCTAATAAAATAATGGTATTAGCGATAATGGAAAAAGTACACGGAAATTGAAACCGTCCCCTTACCCCCCCGCCTGTGACCACAGACATCATCCCGTGAAGGACTGCGAATTTCTGCATGACCGCTCTTAAACTGACGCTAGCTCTCCTCCTGGAGTCAGACAGTTCTTAAAGATCAATGCATAATTGATGCAAATTCCCTACTCAGGGAATCGAAAGTCGTACGGGGTGCGCGCGGTGGACAGGGGCGACTTCCCGGGTCCCTTCCTCGGGCTTTTGGGCGACTTCCGTGAGTCCCTTCTGGGTCTTGTGGGACTTCCTGGGTCTCCTTCTCGGGCCTCTCGGTGAATTCCCCTGGGTCTCCTTTCGGCTCTTGGGCTTCTCTGGGTCTCCTCTCGGGTTCTGGCGACTTCCCTGGGTCTCCTTCTCGGGCCTTGGGCGACTTCCTGGGTCTCCTTCTCGGGCTCTTCGGGGCGACTTCCTGGGTCTCCTTCTCGGGCTCTTGGCGACTTTTCCTGGGTCTCCTTCATCGGGCTTAGGCGACTTCCTGGTCTCCTTCTCGGGCTCTTGGGCGACCTTTCCTGGGTCTCCTTCTTGGGCTCGTTGGCGACTTCCTGGTCTCCTTCTCGGCCTCTGGGGGACTTTCCTGGGTCTCCTTCTCGGTTCTTGGGGGACTTCTGGGTCTCCCTTCTCGGGCTCTTGGGGGATCCTGGGTCTCCTTCTCGCCTCTTTTTGGGGGACTCCTGGGTTCTCCTTCTCGGGCCACTGGGGGACTTCCTGGGTCTCCCGGCCTCTTGGGAACTTCTGCTCCTCCTTCTCGGGTTCCTTGGGGAACTTTCCTGGATCCGTTCTCGGGACTCTTGGGCGACTCCTGGGTCTCTTCTTGGGCTCTTGGGGGATTCCTGGGTCCTTCTCGCCGGACTTGGGCTTCTTGGGTGTCCTTTCTCGGGCTCTTGGGGCGACCTTTTGGGGTCTCCTTCTCGGCCTCTTTGGGGACTTCCTGGGTCCTTCTCGCCTGGGCTTGGGGGACTTCCTGGGTCTCCTAATCGGCCGATTGGGGAACTTCCTGGGTCTCCTCGCTTCTTGGGGACTGTGATGAGTCCTACTTCTCGGGCCTCAAGGGCATCTCCAAGGAGGTTACCTGAGAGTGAGAGGAGGATTCACCGCTTGCGATAGTGAAGAGCACAGTGGGTAGGTTCTCGGCTCAAGGGCGGACTTCCTGGGTCTCCTTCTCGGGCTCAAAGGGCGACTTCCTGGGTGCTCCTTCTCGGGTCAAGGGCGACTCCTGGGTTCTTCTTCTCGGGCTCAACGGGCGACTTCTTGGGGTCTCCTTCTCGGGCTCAAGGGCGACTTCCTGGGTCTCCTCGGCGGGCTCAACGGGGTGCGCTTCCTGGGTCCACTTCCCGGGCTCTTGGGCGACTTCCTGGGTCTCCTGGCGGCTCTTGGGCGACTTTCTTGGGTTCTTCCTTCATCGGCCCTCTGGGGGGACTTCCTGGGCTCCTTCTCGGTTCTTGGGGGACTTCCTGGGTCTCCTTCTCGCTCTTGGGGACTCCCTGGTCTCCTTCTCGCC